ACACACACACACACAAACCAAAACGGGTTCACAAAGGGAAAAAAAGACAAATCTTGCACTCATTGAGTAAAATGAAAACTAAGCTTTTTGTCAGTTTGGTCATTCAGGCTTTAAAGAAATCTAAAGGGGCTGACCAATGATGTCAACTGACCAGCAGAGTTTTATTTAGGGCTGTAGCTCCTCATATGCCCACCAGCAGCTGTTGTGAGATGTGTGTGAGCACATGTGTGTGCGCGTCTGGACTTTCCTATTCTTCTGATCGTTCAACTTGTAACTGGTAAGCCAACAACACGATTTATCTCTTGGAATAGATTGACCACCTCCTGCTCTTAAACAAAATGAGACCACCAGCCGTCGATACTAATGCTGAAGAGTAAGAATAGACTTAGAGGAACATTCCTATAAATAGCAAATGGGCAATGAACGCCTGCTGCAGATCTTCTGTTGTATGTAGTAGGCCTACAGAAACCTTTGTGTGTGCATGCTCACTCTACAATATAACATATATATATACAATATAAAGGTAGCAGAGTACAGTTGTATGTGCTGAATATAGTTTGAAAAGCAAAGAGTAAATACAAATAAAGGAGTATTTTGCATTGACTTCCACTGTTACTTACTTACTTAATATACATGGAGCTAATTAAACCTGTTAATCTCCCCAGGAAACCACACTCACAATGACTCTCCAGTGGACGGCTGTGGCTTTATTCCTCTATGCAGAGATAGCAATCAACCTTATCTTATGTATACCCTTCATATCAGCAAAGAGGTACTGCAATTCAACACACAATCCCAAAACATAATCAGATGCTCATTCAGCAACTCCTGGTCACCAAAAAAATGACCTGTGCAAGGGTTTGACTGTAAATAAGAACACTGACAAAGGCAGTTCATACAAATAACCAGCAGAGTGCATCCATGTCCTTTCTGCACAGATCCACACTCACACTGTGCTTTTAACTACTTTGTAGATGGCGTTTGGTTTTCAGTTGGAGAATATGGAGCTGGTTATCTCCATATTGGAACAAATGCTTCTTTACCATGATCATGGTTCTCATTGTACTTTTCCTTGGTAAGCAAAATGCTGTTAGTGACAGACATTGAATAATACTGAGCAAACTGAAAGCATGTTGTCAGAATCAGCATCAGCCAGGTTTCTGTCCTCTTGCCCACTCTCAGATGCTGTTCGTGAGGTGCACAAGTACTCAGGTCCTGAGCCCATGCACGATGCCCAGGTGAACCCAAATGTGTACGACCATGTCCACATGAAGCTGTTCAGAGCCCAGAGGAACCTTTATATATCCGGCTTCTCTCTCTTCCTCTGGCTGTTAGTGTCATTTCTTTCAACATTTATTCAGAAAAACAGAATAATGTGTTCAGATTCACTTTCTGAGGTCTTGTTTGCCTTTTTTTCTTTTGATTTCTCGTCTTGTCCTGCCCTGTGAACTCATCCCAGTATCATGCGTCGGGTTGTCACCTTGCTAAACCAGGTTGCTGTCACCTTAGAGAACAGTGCAGAACTTCAGGCACAGACAGACAGTGCTGTCAAAGCAGCCAAGCAGCACCAGGACGACAACATGATGCTCAAACAAGTGAGACTTAACCAGTCTGATGACAGAACTAAAACTTAATCTTTTGTCTTATAGTCTTAAGCCTGTTCCTTTGCTTTTCTTTCCCAATGTGTAGCATTTACTGTAGCTTATGTGTACTTTCTGTATAAAATAACTTGTGTTTTTATTATTTTTGTGATTTGTATAATGTGTTCGTTTGTCTGCTGTTCGGAATTAAGGAGAATCCTTTGTGTTCAGGCTCTTCTGGATGAGGAAAAATCCATGTCAACAAAAAACCAGCAACTGAAACTGGAGGTGGAGAAGCTGGCAAGTCAAGTGAGAGCTGCTGAGGAGAGTGAGTAATCATCACTTTCTTCATACAAGATGATCTGCAGTCATAGTGCCAGTCTTATATAAAGATGCTAATTATAAGCTATAATTCTATTAGCAGAGCATGGACCGCCACCGGTCTCTTCTTGACTACTTGCATACAAACATTAGCTGTGGTATTATGAAAGAAGCTGCTGCATTAGAGCAATTTATAGATGTAGTACTGCTTGTGTGTATAGCTGTGCGCAAGTCTCATGCTGAAGTGGAGGCCATGAGGAGACAGGCCAAAGGTCTGGCACAAGAGTATGACCGACTCTTGACAGAACACCATCAACTCCAGGTGAAAAAAAAACACACACACACACACACAAACACAAAATACTCTCTGTAACCTACTAATACTGGAGTGATTCTGTTTTTAATTAATTTACTTGATCCACAGAATCCCCAGAGTGCTACAGACAAAAAGGATCAGTAGACACAGGAATACAGTGACAATGTCGTTGGTGTTGTTTGTTCCACTTTTTTCTTCTCATTACACTAGAATTGTGTACAATATGCAGTAGGCCACCAGAGGCCATGTTTGTATTATCACCATTTGTATTATTACCATTTTGAAGCTTTTTTTAATTAACGAAAAGGATTAAACAAACAGTAGCATGTCAAGCTTTTAAAATGCAGAAAAATATATTTACATACGGAATAAAATACGTCTTTTTGCATGTTAGTCTCAGTAGCTAGTGGTATTAAAAGTGTAAAAAAGGAATTTTGTCTCAAGGGGTTAAAGGTTATTGCTAGTGAGACCGGTTATCTCAAAGATTTGCACAGAACAAAGCACCACTGAAAGCACATAATCACTAATGCATACATGCTGTATATTCATTTATTGCATTTTTATGATAGTTATGAATTCTAATAATAATCTAATTTACTGATTTGACAACGACCAGTGAATTTCTGTCACACACGCATGTCACATTTGTCAAACCTTAATATGTATAACTTTACAAACTGATTTTGATTTGGCCCCCCTGTACTTGACCTTTTGTAATTTGCTGACAGTTGGTATATGACAAGCATAAACATGTACAATAAACAATACAAAACCCCAGATAGCGTGTTCCTTGTTATCATGCTGACATCAATCAACGCACACAAAATAGTTTTAAATGTTGAAAACAAAATGAAAAGAGCTTCACAATGAGGTAAAGTGTACAATCAGGTAGATGTGGTAGGTTTTGAAGTAAATTTCATTATCAAAGCCAAAATACAATCTTCTGTATAGTATTTATAAGATCAAACAGTGTCCCGTTATTTATAAAAATAACATTTCTCTCAATTCTGGTGTGCAGCTTTAGACATTTAGTATTGTAAGGCGATATTTTGCATATCTCCTCTTTAAATGTATCATGACTGAAAACCCAATGCTGCAAAACTCCAAGGTTAAGAAATTTATAGCAGTGATTGATAGACAAAACAATCACAACTCAAGGTTGAGTTATGCACTTTCTGGAGATGTCAACCATATCACACGGTCCTCATTAGCAGACTGTATTTGCTTAGTTGCCGTGAAGCCGCAGATGTTAAAACTATGCATGATTCTGAGCCATCCATGTTGACTTAAAAGCTGAGTTTGACAGTTCACTCTTGACCTTAGAAACAGCAGTTTCAGGTTGCTACAGTACACAAAGGTTGAAAAAAGTGTGATTGTCAAAGCGTGATTAAACAGTTATCTTACTGAAGGCATGACTTCTCTTATGTCTGGACAGAAGTGGTAGTTTCCTGTCTGAATGCGAACAGCATAATCTTTTAGTGGTGTGCTGTTCCTCAGTTGCCTCTATCTTTGATCTGCTTGTTGACCTTATTCATTCACAGGTTGAAACACTTTCTTTGCCTCAGTGTAGGCACATTCACAGTTCCCCGTGTGCCACAGAAACAGTCTACAGAACCTTTTAATGGGCAAAGCCACAAACAGACAGACATGATGGAGTTTAAGCATCTTCCTCAGGCACGTTAACATAATAGAATCCAAAAATCTATTTTATGAGGTTTAATCTTAAAAACGAAGACCAACATAGAAAATACAGCACAATTACATTATTTTTTCTACAAAAATCTTCCATTCATGAAAAACAAAAACACATACATTTTTACATTCCAGCATATTTTGTTTTTAAAACGACTCTTATTTCAGGTATCATACGTCTACACAAATCCTGTACAAATATATACTCTGTGTGCTATGAAAAGTGTCCACAGCATGTGTTCCTCTTAACATCTGAGGTCCTTCATGGGGCTGAGTCAGAAGAGAAGAGGTTGTGCTGAGGCTCACAAGCGAGTCTCTCTGTCAGGATTGCAGTCCGAGGCCAGTATAAACTGCTCACAGTGGATGGAGCTGTTCTCTTCTTTCTTTAGTGACTCCAACTCTGCACTCCCATTGGTCAGAGCATATTTCTCCTCCATCTTAATATGTCTTTTGAGTACAGCAAAGCCTAAAATACAAAGGAAAAAGGAAACTGTCCTCAAGCCCAATGTCAGACCCAGGTACACGATCCTGCAGGAAGAAGAAAGCAATACTGTAAGATTACCATACTGTTAAGCCCTGTATACATTATCAGCAAGTGAACTTAGCTATTACTCATCTGATGTATGCATATTTTACATCTGTCTACTGCACTGTTGTGCAGTATTAAGGTCAGTCACTAAACGATTAAAGCTCCATCCTGTATCCTGTCTAGCGTGATCTGACCGACGCCCCAGGGCAAGCACTATCCTAAATATTTCTCAACCAGTTCCCCCTGTTTTTCAGATACTGTTAGGGGACAAACTGGGAGAGAGTCAAGCTACAAGTCCTGGAGGGTAATTCACAATTCCAGTCTCAGGTTTTTAATAATCACATTGCAAGTCATGGCAAGTCACATTGCAAGTTTTTAAGTAGTTTAAATAGTTTTTTGCTTGAATACATTTTACCGAAACTTTTACATGAAAAAGCAAACCTCTCATCAGGTTTAGTTTAGCCTACAGACTTATGTTGATGTTTCATTTGCTCTGGCAGATACTGTATATCTGGCCACCTTTCCATTCAAACAGAATTCCACCAGCCATGGATCTGGTTGGGCCAGTCACAACCGTTTGTTTTATTTAATATGGAGGTTTTATACAATGACTGACAGAGGAGCATCACTTGTCCAGATTTCATAAGCCACACATAGGTCTATCCTAACCAAACTCAGATCAAACTGTCAAACTGGGCAGTTCTGATTAAATATGATCAAGATTCAGTTGCTGCATTGTGTATTTCCTCCCTCAAATGTTGTCAGAAACACATTTTTGTGTATTGTTTGACTGTTATTTGAGAAGATTTTTTCCTGCTTAACAACATACCAAGCAATGCCTCAACTTGCTTGTGTCACTCAGAGGTACATCACATGTTTTGTTGCTCAGACTGGTTGTGGGACAATAATGCGTCCTGAGGCCTTTTAGTCTGCGCCCGTTGATAACTTTCCTTGGAAATCGAAAATTAGCTGATAGGTTAGGTCTAACCATAGCAACATTGTCTCTCTATTTTTCATCCATCTAGTAGTTTTGTTAATAAGTATTCAAAGGCAGCTTGCATGGTTCTAGACAGTTTGTCTTGTTTCAAGGTGAACTCTAGAGTTTTAAAGACATCCTTGTGGATATTGCACACAGTTTTATAACGAAAGCCCTACAGATCTAATTACCTGTAAGCCGAGGTGTTATATATCCTGCATGCTCCTCTTCCTCCACACATCTTGTATCCCCATTTGAGGCATGTTGTGTCAATTATGGCTCCAAAGTATATAGGGGCAGGTATTCCAGCTGCAGTGCAATTTAAATGAACTTGTTACTTCAAACAAACAGTAAAAAAAATATAATATTTATAATGATAATACATATTTAATGATGAGCTTCAAGTAAGGGTTTATTTTCATATAGACACCTCATTATAGTAATTCTGCTCATTCTAAACATCCAGCATGCTGAATGTCAGCTCTTAGGAGATGTTCCTGCACCTGACATTCACACTAGGTAGACAGCAATGTACAGAATACCAAATGTGTTTCTCACCGAGGGTGCGAGTGGCTAACGTGTGGATTCCAAGAGCAAGGGATTTCAGCTCAGGCTTAATGCACCTATAGAACCAAGACAGAGGCATTAAAGGAACGTCAAGTTTTAAACCACACTTGCAGAAAGATAATGCTACAATGCTACAAATTAACATTGATTTGATGCTTTGAGGTACAAAGTAGAAAAATGCTTTAATTTTTACAGTTTTAGTTGAAGTATCTCCACTGATGATACTGTATCATATGGAAGTAATCACATTTTTCTCATAACAGCAGAAAGTGTAATCTGTCAAAGAATGACAAAATGATGTATTGCTTCAACAACAGGCTATGTACGAAATGAGTCTAGTGATTCCAACATTTTTCACAAGTCCACAAGGGGCTTGTTGACGGACCTGACAAGCAGCACAAAGCCAGGTGTTCCCCCAAGAGAGATGATGAAGGAACTGAGGACTGAAAGAGCCAGGAAGTATGGAAAGATTTTGTCACAGCTGTCTCTGTGTGGACACTGGCCCAGAGTGGCTGTCAGGTTGCCTGGTTGGGAATCAGCCAGTGCTACACACCTGCAATTGTCAAACACCTAACAAAGAAGAAAACAACAAGTTTATCAATGATGGATGCGCTACAGCACAGCAGGAAACACTTGTCCTGTAGGTAAACAGTCATGCAAATACAATTGAAATGTCACATGCTACTCTGTAGGCATCAGTAATATTGGGCAGCAGCAAAAACTGCAGCATTATACGAATAAAACACAGCAATTAAGCTCAAATATAAATAAATGTTTTTCAGTCAAGGTATATTGAGAAATATGAGTGTGTCATGAAGTCAGTGGTGTGTGCCTGACCGTATTTCTGCCATAGCCGGTGGAGGAGGCACATCCAGCCAAACACGGGGACACGTAGGTGATCCCGTTCTCTCCACACACTGGATCCCACTCTTTTCTTGAGCACAAGCAACCCGAATTACAGTCAGAGAAGAGAGACGGTTCCTGATAAGACAAGCCTTCCACTCTGCATGTGACAACATGAAGAAAATGCATATATTATTGACAGCTCTCATGAAATATTAATCAAATAAGAAGCCACGACCATTACTGTGCATGGAATATGAAAACAGAAACAAAGAAAGGCAACGCAAAAGAAATGCCAAGAAATGTGTTAGTTGTAATGATTAATTGTGAAATTTCTAAATCCAAATCTAGCTCCTTCTTCTGAATATTACCTATTCCACTACCACATGAGAGAAATGTATCAAGACATCACATACCCAGTATATGAAACTGTAATGCCTGCCACCTTGGAGTTCTCACAGCTCATGGCTAAGAAAAAGAGCGACAGGAAGTAGCCCAGCAGGGAGGTCCCAAAGGCAAATTTAGCTGCTCCCATGATACCCAGCTTGTACTTCTTCATGACAACCCCTCCAGAGAACATCCCCAGGGCCACAGCTGGGATGTTGATCATGCCTAGCCAAATTGCAGAACACAACGGATTCTTAAAGGGATAGAGGATCAGGAAACAACGTGAACAGGCAACATCAGGCAGCAACATCGCTCCCCAGAAGGAATCAAAGTCAGAACTCGCTCATTCATATTTCATCTAAAATGAATTGAAGTCATGTTGTGAAAGATGAAAATGCCTTTTGATGGTTGAGAGGATGCATTTCTCATCACCCAACACCCACTTCACTCATTCAGATATGTAGATTCAAAGATCTACGCTATTACACTGTCTTCAATTAGCTCAGGCCGACATAATAATTTGTCTCAGTCATCTGTGCGTTTTTTTTTCAATCCATGTTTGTCATTTCAGAATGTCCAATGATTGCAGTAAACCTGGTTGTCATTTTGAAGCTGCAGCGCTTACTTAAGAGGGATGTGGGAGTTGGGAGCATAAAAAATTCATCAAAAGCTGGCTCATGAAACACTTATGATGACCGTCCAGCTCACATCAGTTTGCATCCTTAAATACTTTCCTTTCAGTGATGCAACACAGGTTTTGAACAAGGTTGTTATCAAAGTACTCTGCTTACCCATGAGAAAATTGGCTTTTGACGCTGACTGGCCATAGTGTTGCTCAATGTATTTGGGTTTGTAGGTCACCATCCCGATGAGAGAGTTGAACTGAATGATGGTCACGCATAAGTAGATGATGTACACAGGATTTCCGAGGAGACTCTTCACTGTGGGCACAAAATCTGTGTGGGGAAGTCTATGAATAGCAATTAAAATGTAGGCATTGCTTTTCATAATTTACAGATTACTATTGAATTCATAACAAGCATACAATGTTCAAAACTAGACCCATAAACATGTTTAAAATGACACATCCTAAGATAAAGTTTCTCTTGGCTGAATGAAAACTATTTAAATTCATAATTCATAATAGAAAATTAGCAGTTGTGGTAGTAATGTGAGAATACTGCTTTTTAAATAAAGATGTCTTCAAGAAAGGAGACAGATTGAAGTGAAATTTATAACATCCCTAAAGATTCCACGGACTGCATACAGATAATTATGCAACTATTCAATATTCAACACAGTTTACCACTTGGTGTAACGATAATCATACCTTTGGCCATCTGATGTAAATTAGCTGGCTCTTCAGGTCGAAACTTGTGCACCATTGTCTGGGAATCTTTGATAAACCTGGTTTGCTCTGGAGTGCACCTGGTATCGTGTTTATCCACAGGAATGGGCAGTGACTTAGGCAGGAACCAGAAAGGAACAGCAGACATGAGGGTGATGGTACCAGCGATGAGGTAGCCCAGCCACCATGCCCCCACCCAGCGGGCATCACCAGGGGTAATAGTCACGGTCTCTGTGGAGAGATAACAACCCTATCAGCACAGTATGTGGATTCATTTTGATTCATTTGCTATAGTTGCTATAGTTTTAATTTATTTAGTTTTATTTATAGTCATTTATGTCGGAAGCACGGCAAATTTATTTAGAAACTACAATTTATATAGAGTCAGTTTCAACGTGCTTTACATGCACTTAAAATTTAGGGCTGTTAAGTTCAAAGGCAACATTTCCTAACATGAGGAGGTGTCTCCTGACTTGTTCACAGAAAGGTTTACACAGCTTCAAAGTCCCAGTCAGATTTTACTGTATCACAGGATTTACCCTACCCTAATTCATATCCTTTTGGCAGGTGTATTATGTCTTTCACACCGTTAACACTGTCATGTGCAACAACCAATTTCTAAATCCAACTCTCCACAGAGCAGTATGAGTGCATTATGTGAACATAAGATAATCCACAACAACAATTTTCTGAGCACATTATTGTTATTTAATAAGTCATAATTCATCATTCAGATGGCAGCTCACTCACCCATGTCCACATAGCCTATGTCAACGTAGATCTTAGCACACAGCGACCCCAGCAGGTACCCAAAGACAGGACCAATAACAGACATGGTTTGGACACATCCTAGAATATACAACAAAGAAAAAGTTATTTCCATCAAACCACATTTAACACTAACATACAAACATAACATCCTATGTTTGGGCTCAATTCAGCAGTTGATTTTTAAAAAAAAGAAAAAAAAGCTCCACCCCAGCCAAAACTATTTTCTTTCTTTTTGTTCCTACAGTACCAATGTTTAAAGTTGAAGTTCCTCTGTGCTCATTGAAAATCAGATTTTAAGGGGCGGGGCCTATGAGCATGATTTGTGACATCACAAATAGTTTGTAAGTCAATCCTGGTCCAGTATAGAATTTCATCTATAGTGTGATGTATTGCCTGGATATATAAAACCATAGGATTGAACTATACTAACGTAAAGATAATCAAATCCATTTCCTGACTTAATTACATTGAAAATTAAGTGACCCTAATCTTGGTACTGTGTAAAGCTGCTAACGTAGACAGTGATTAAGATACATTACCAATATAGAGGGCCGCATTCTCGGATTGTGCATAATCATCAATATAGGAGATTCCCAAAGGCTGTACTGGAGTCTCTCCAATCCCACGCAGGACGTTTCCCAGAAACACATAGATCCACATTGAAACACTGGATTCCCGCTCACAGACTACAGTTCAAATTGAAATAGGAAAAATAGAATGAGAAGTTATAATCAAAAAAAACAACAACATTATCAACTCCAGCATTGTCATGTAAATCACAGATATTAAAAAAGGACAAATTTACTGTGAGTGTCTAGAATTTCTGGCTGTCTGGCAATGTCCTCTGACACACACACACGTTAGTCCCAGTACGGAACAAACAATCCAGAAAAAACTTAAGGATCTTACTCCTAATCTTACCTCTAGAGGGCAGTATAGAAGGTCTGTCACCCTCCCTGGTGGGTGAGCTTTCTGGACATGGAGAGAGGTTACTGGTTGAATTCAATGAAGATCTAGCTGATGTTTCGATCTTATAGCTGCGTACAAAATACCAATGTGACTGTTAAACAGGGGAAGGGAGAAAGCATCAGGTATCGTTAGATACTCACAATGTGAAGCACAAATACATACATCAGAGAGTACATTTGCAATAAATACTGTTACTACATTGTGTTTATGGTGCTTGAAGACTTAAAACAAAGAAATACATGTATGGAATTTGTAAACTGCAATGCATGCACACAGACGTGACACTTCGCCTACCGGCCAATGATGAAGTGAGGCATGGCGATCAAGAAAGTCCCAAAAGACATCAATATACATCCGATTGCTATGATCTTGGGTCGGTGGAGTTTGGCACCAAAATAGCTCACAAAGGCAATCACCAACAAATTCCCTACAGGGTTAAGATGATCAGAATAGGAAATGAATCAAAGGCATTAAATGAGACCTACTGTGGAGAGTTTCATTTAGTAATCTACAATGTTTTTAAGTGGTATATAAACAAGAAAAGGTCTTCAGAATACCAAGTATCTGAGGACATCTAAATAATTTTAAAATCATAATAAAGAAATAAACACACAGGGGAAAGTATTCTTTACCATAAATATTTTTATTTACACAGCTTTAACCAACAATCCACTAGTACTGTAAACAGCCCACAGCATTTTCGTGAATTTAATTTGTCCTCCATCATGATATGGTCTGCTCATTTTGAAAAATTACATTGACTGGATTAGGGGGGGGGGGGCTTTATAATATCGGTTTACATGGCTGAATGAAACATACAGTATCTTGGTCACTGCAAACTGGGTTTTCACAAAATGTAAGGGCCAACTGGGTCTTATGACAGCCTGTGTAGGCTTAAGTCAGTGTAAATGTTCATATTTATCTGACACATGCATATGCAATATTACATATTCTTCATTTAGTGTCCCCAGTCTGTTGTACAACTGCAGAAACCTTTACAAAATCCCTCTATTCAAAACCTACATGCAGTAGCTCCAATGGATTTTTCACTTGTCAATTAGGTATGCCACCAGTAACTATTCACTGCTCCAAGGGTATGCATGCATGCTGTAGTGTTAAGCTTGATGACATGCTGAGTACATATACTTGGCTTACTTTTAGCATCAGCTTCAAAACATGGACAAAAAATGGAATTCAAAAACTCACCTATTTCAAAGCTCCCGTCTATGATGCCAATCAGATAACTGGGGATGTCAAATCGTCTTTCTAGTTGTGTAATTGTGCTCTTCATGTAGCTGCCAGATAAAGCCTTGGCAAAGTAGGCAAAAGACAAGGCTGCAAGGAACATCTACAGAGATATAGAAAAAGACTGTGTTAAACAAAGTGCTTCTGAAGTGCTTCTTATCTTTTAATTTCAAAATATTATATTGACCTGTATTATTATTATCTTATTATTTTTTATATAGTATATCATATTACTAGAGCATTAGTAGCAGTGTGGTTCATTTTTACAGATAAACGTCAATTACAAATCAGTACAGTATGCAGAGAAGCCACAGTGAAAGGAAACATGAAACGCCAGAAAGCTGAACTTCTAAAAGGCTGGGCCTGAAAAAGGAAAGGAAAAGAACAAACAGAGAGGCGAAAAGTACAGAGCACTAATTTGTGACTTTAAGCACATTTCTTGAGTGGGCAAAACCTGTGTTATGATGATGAATTTGGCAGTGCAGATCACCCTTCTGTCAAAGGAAAGGCTGGCAATGTACCTGGTGGGGACTCCGTAACAAAGATTAGAGACGAGGCAAGGTTTGATAGAGAGGCCATCCCACAGACACTATCCACTGCACTATGAACTGACAGCCCGACCAACATGCAGCATGAATTGGAAAATACTTAGTTCAATAGCACAAAAGTTTGGATGTTTTGGTTTCAAACTTCCCAAAAGTTGTATTAAACAGTAGGGATGAGGCGATATGTATATCAGTTTACGTATTCGTAGCAAAACATTCGCCGTCAGCGGTAACAATCAATGTCATCCCACGATAAAAACAATAAATTACCCATTGCTGACGTAATAGTAAGTCGGACACACTCGCAGCGAAAAACACGTGTGGAATTTGCAACAATGGCAGAAGCGGCGACAGAGATAACGCCAGGGCAGCGGGAGCTCGTTGCGCTAAACGTAAAAAAAAAGTTTTTTAAACTGGTTGGGTTTTTAAAAGTCTGCACCGGAGCACAATTTAAGCACTGCAAGGTTTGCAAACAAATACGTGGCTACAAGACACCGTTACCAGTGATAAATAAACCAGAAATTATCGGGATACATTTTATTTGTTCCATTATCGCCATCCGCTAATTGACAGATACCCAACAAATTTAAAATCGATGCAGACTGAAACTTCACTATACGTAACTTCTGAAAACAGATATCTTTTCAGATCATGGCTCCAAGTGTAAGCCAGCAAATTAAATAGTAATGTAAGTATTTAGGCTTTTTAAGCAAGCACAGAGAACAGAGGAGAACACTTTTTCTGTTCCAGCCTTAATTTACATTTTCTCTACTCAGGTCTCACTTTCTCTGCAGGCATAGTGCTCGCCTTAACATAGTTTGGCAGAGTGAGAAGACAAAAGATTCTCAATCTGTTGAGGAGTTAGATGTGGCAGAATGAGGGCAGTTCTGAGGGCCAGGGGCTGCATACAGCAGGCACCAGTGCACAGAAGCTGTGATGCAGTTATGTGAAACAGTTCCAATACCTGTTTTTATTTTATTATGTGACTCAACGTCCAGTGTGTAGGATACTAGTCGGCTATCTAGTGGTGAGACTGCACATTGTAACAAAACGGATAACCTTTTCCCTTTTCAGCATGCTGCAGAAACTACGGGTGGTCATCATGGATACGTTTAAAAAATCTAGACTAGAGGCCAGTTTCGGTTTGTCCTTCTCGGCCTACCTGTAGAAACATGGCAGTTCAATATGGCGGGAGGCCATAGAGAAGACCCACCTCCTTCTGCTACGATAAGAAATAATCTTCTAAGGTAAAGTAAAAGACAATGTTCTTTTTTCAGCGTGTTATTCACTATGACAACATACTCTATGGCATATATATATACATACCTGTGAATATATATATATATATATATATATATATATATATATATAATATACATAATATACTGTCTATAATAATATACTTTTGACATTATCTCTGTTAATTATTATCATTATATCTGGTTTCCTAGCCTTGAAATAAACTGCATTCTGGACCCTCTGCCAGTTGAACTTATTCTCTGGCTACTCTGGGACCTACTATGCTGAATGCCCACTAGCTTAAAGACTGCTGTGGTTAAATCGCTACTCAAGAAACGACACCTTGATCCAGGGTCTCCAAGTAACTACAGACTGGTCTCTAAACTTCCATCATTTTAAAAAGTAGTGTGAAAAAGCTGTGTCCCAGCAATTTTCGTCACATTTAACTAACAACAATCTTCCAACATTCCACTGAAATTGCTCTTACCAAAGTGGTACATGACATTTTACTTAGTACTGACTCAAACTGTGGATCTCAGTGAAGCATTTTATACCACAGATCACAGCACACTAATTGATCCGCTTGAAAGCCTATTTGGCATCTCCAACCAGTCCTACCTTTCTGAAATAACACAGTGTGTTTATAATAATAGTACATCAATATTTACAGACGTGAAATATGGAGTTACACTAATAATACTCAGCTGTATGTGCCTGTAAAGGCAGACGATCAATCTTAAATAAAAAATTTAGAGGCCTGTCAAACTAGGGCTGTACTTGAATCAGAATTTTGTCAGTCGAATCAGATTTGACTATTTGTTTGTACTTTTTTTTTTTCAATTCAGCGCTACATTAAACTCCTATATCAGCAGCTACATGAGTCTCATGTTGTAGCTTACTTCACATTTGAATTCTTCATCATTTGTGATATGATAACATCAGATTTCCACACAGTGTGTGTGTGTGTGTGTCCTGTTTATAGTTCAGTTATAAAATCTCAGAGCACCACGGAACATCTCTCCTGCTAACAGCGCTGTCAGCCCAAGAGTCAGTCACAGTGTACTGCGACAGAGGAGCTTGTACCAGTGTCTGGTTCAAAAGTGGTATAGTCGACTTTATTGACAGTCGTCACCAGAGCAGAGCGTGTCGGAGCAGCCGCTGCCCCACCGTCCCGCTTCTCTTTGTTAACGATCACTCTTCTCCACTTCCATCACATTTCTGGTTTGTGCTCATTTTGAGACTTGGTTTGTAAAGTTTACAGCCTACCATGCTGTCACTCTGTGTACAATGACACAACTACAAAACAAAAGTGAAAAGACTTGACAGACAAAATGCGAGTCGATTAGGGGTCTTCTCGACTGATGATTCGAACTGCATCAGCTTTTCAGGGGCAGCCCTGTGTAAAACTGGATGTTCCTGCTCCTAAATTCTGATAAAACTGAGATGCTGGTCATTGGCCCTGCTCTACATAAACACCAGTTTGATCAAGCAACAGTAACTCCTGACAAGTGAGAGTCACTATAAAGGGCATCCAAATATCCATCCAAATCCATATCGATTATCTATATCTATTTCTATCTATGATTACGGTTTTCATTATTATTGTTTACATTGTCTCTGTTTTTAAATCTGGTTTAAATCATGAGGAACTTTGCAACTTACATTACAGGAACATAAATTCCTTACAAGCGCTTGTTAAAAAGTTGAGATTTATAAAGGTGGTGTTATTTTAGCTTTCATAATGTGGTTTTTCAAAATGATTTGTGTAAAGAGAACAAATATATTTAGGAGCTAAATTTACATTATAATTGATTAAATTACTTGATTACATCTTGTGAATTCCACTGAATTTGATAGATATTTTACTTCAATTCTGAAATATATTGTGTCTTACTGTGATATTAAGTATAAATATTTCTGATAATAAGAACCTAATATTTCATATAAATCCTTAAAGCATTGGACACCAGAGGGATGAAACATTGTTCAAATAGAATGCAAAGTAGTAAGTTGCTACCTTTATCTCACAATGTTTATGTGAGGTAAAATACATGTACAGAATGTAAAATAATCCAAATGTGGACTAAACAAACGTTCAAGATTCTATCCTGAATTTGAACACGTGTGTGCTACAAGCAAACAAAATCCCTTTGTCTATTAACAAGCAAATGTTTTATCAAAAACACAGAGGAGTTCATTGTAGAATTACCACACACAGAAGGAAAACACACACAGTATGGACAAAAAGGCAGCATGACTGGAATTCCTTATTATTCTTGCTTGCCGTTATCCATGTATTTTACTAAGCAGCTTTTTAATTATTGTCCAATGTGCTTCTTAATCCAATAGAGGTACAGACCCTCTGTTCTGACCTATTTTACTGAAGCACAAACTTTGTCTAAGGAATTTTTCACAACGGCTTAATACACAGTCCAAAGGACACACCGAGCATAGTTGCATAGTCATCATCTAGGCCTACCAGAAACATGCAGCATGCTCAACATACAAATCTCAGTGGGTGTTCAAACATATATTGATATACATCAACATACACAAAAGACACCTAAAATGGTTTTATTCAGCTAAGCACCCTTAACAAAATGAAGACACCACCCTGAAGACATCACAGTACAGCAGAGATGTCTACAGCTTTTAGATATTCTCCACATATGTGAAACGCATGCACAAGAGGGTGCATTCACCAACATAATGCACTCTGTGTTTCTCTTCCTTAGATACATGTGATCCCAGTCATTGGACAGATATTTTGGTTTCCCCCTTTAGGCCAGTCAGGTGACTTTGGAGATGACAGACATATGAGCCTTCAGGCTGAAACACTTCAAACATGTTCTTAAAACTGTTCTCTGGTAGAGAACACTGTCCCTATTGGTCTATAAAACTGTACTTGTGTAGTTTCCATCCCTTTATTCCACAAAAGACAGTACCTTCAGATTGGGGTGGCAGGAGTTCTTCCCTGCAGAGGAGGTAGGGTTGCTGCCTAGAGTCCAGCTGCCTGTGGCTGTGTTGTTTATCTTCTTCATAGCAGACGTGTACCTGGGCTGTGGTTTCTCTTTAAATGGTTTATGGCTTTCCTCACTCACACCTGTTTGAAGAAATTTAAAAATCTGTCAAACCCATTTCTCTCAACAATTACTGTAGTCATCTAAGACAGGACGTCATTATATGCTGATGTTCTAGGAATAGCATGTTCCATGGATTAAAGCAAAGTTAAACAACATAGAAGCATTCACAACAGATACCATATGTCCCAAGAAGCTTAGCTTAAAACACTGGAAGCAAGGATAAATGGTTAGCCTAAA